CCCTGAGAAAGGGGCTGGCTCGGCCTCTGCTTCTTACCTCCCCTCCACAGAGACAAGCAGCCCTGCGTGGTGATCCAGCAGCTGCAAGTCTGAGGCTTCTCTCTTGCTTTTGTATATTTTGCAAAAAAGAGTGGTGGGAGGGATGAGGTTAATGCGTTGAGTGTGAGTAATTAGTCATTCAAACCATTGACATTTACAATGACAGGATTTGAGTGCCTACGTTATTGTGCACTGCTCTAATAGTTTATCCTTGAAATTTTCTGCCTGTATAATGTTTCTTAAAATATATCACGGGAACATAAAAGATTTAATGCAGTGCTTTGTACAACCATTAGAGTCTGAAGTCAACTGAACCTCCTCAGTGCTCTATCCTGGATGCTGACTCTAATTCTGCTTCTTAATTGCCGTTCAGAAGAGGGAAGGAGGGCAAGTCAGGGGTTTGGAATCTGGTCAGCTGCAAAGTTGGCTGTGAGACCCACACCGAATGTTTTGTTAAAATACATTTGCACACTTGAATAACTGATATATTTATTCGCAATGAGAACGGTGCTGTTAGAATATCAAAGGCCATAGGCTGGGGAAGCACGCGTTCTGATTTTGCAGAGCCAGCCTCTGTGCTGATTGGAGAATAGCCTTCCCACTATCACACATGTATCTCTCTGGTCTGTTTCCCAGGTAGAGATTACAGGTGTCCTCTCTCTCTCAGATCTATCATGTAAAGCTAAAATGTTGTCATTTCATATCGTTGGGTTTGTTATCTTTATATCTTGGTAACTTCTCTTATTTTCCAAGTAATGGTTTCAAATCCTCGTGGTTGACTTATGTGTCAGATTGGATTCTGACATTTTACATTTCTGATTCTTTTTGTAAGCCTGTTTTGCATCCTGGGATGCATCATTAAGACCAGTGAAGGATCTTATGACATGAGGTATAACAATGCATTTGCAAATGTTTCCAACTTCAGAACTGCATGTTTTTATTGGGAAAAGTCTGTGTGTGCATGTGAGTATTTCCATCAGTTCTTTCCAAACACACAGAATGATAACTGTGCAGCGTGTGCAGAGCAAAGTGAGCTCCATCTCCATCAGATGAGAATGACTTGGCCTACTGTCTAGTAGCTCAATGCAGAACATTGTGTCTCATGGCTCTTTTTTGGAGGTTTGAGCCCAGTTAGGATTGTCTGATCTACAGATGGGGCTCAGCTCCATGAGTCAGCATGCATTAGGAAATCCACATCGGATGTAAGCAGATCAGAACGCTGATTGAGGAACTGAAATTACTTTGCTGCAGACTTGATACTTCCCAGACCTGTGAGATGTTCACATGGGCAAGTGGCTGGCTTTCACCCACATGTGTCTGTGAGGTGAGCATCCAGTGAACAAAAGATGAATCCAGCTGTCAGGTGACCTTTAACAGTCTGAGTCCCACAGAATCTCAGCATGCTTAGGTATGGCTGATATTACTCTTCATATTCCATTTTAAGACCCCCAAAAGACGCCACAAAAGCACAGGCTATTGTGTAGGTGTCTGGGAGACCTATAAGAAGGGTTAACCTGAGGAAGGTGGAGAGCAGAGAAGGTGCTCTATAGATTATGGAACTGGCCTTTTTTGCCATGAAATAAAAATTCCATAGTTGGGCAGCTCTGTGATTCTGCTAGCCAAGCCTTCTAAATTGGATAAACTCTGTTTTTCAAATTCTTTATCGAGTTGGCAGTGCTCCGTGTGTTTGTTGCCTGGACACCTGACTCACTGAAGCAGTGAGACTACACAGCAAATGGAGGCACTGCACAGACCCAGGAGGCCGGACGGCTTGGCGAGCAGACACCTGCCTCCCAGCAAGGAGCTGTGATGATGCTCTGCAACATCATCTCCATTAGCATGGCCCCCTCCCCGGGGCACAGCTTTCTCATTTTTCCTGGAACCCTGCCTCAAGGGCAGAGCAGCTGAATAGGCTTTTGGGTGTAGTTTCTATCACTGCTGAGGAGTGCTTGACTTAGGATTCTTTTTAGGGACTCTTTGCTTTCCACCTGCTGCCTGGACCAGCCTTCCAGAATCTCATAGTTGACCTGAAGCCAAGAATAAAGTTCTTGTGATGTGATTCAAGTTACTTACATGGCACAGCTGGCGTGGCTCAGTGGTTGAACATCAATCTATGAACCAGGAGGTTAAGGTTCGATTCCCAGTCAGGGCACATTAGAGTGCGGGCCTACGACTGATGGGTCCCAAGTTCAATTCCAGTCAAGGGCACATGCTGCATTGTGGGCTCGACCCCCAGTAGGAGGTGTGCAGGAGACAGCCAATCAATGATTCTCTCTTATCATTGATGTTTCTCTCTCTCTCTCTTCCTCTCTGAAATCAATAAAATTATATATTTTTTAAAAAGTTACTTACATGATGTTAAAGAATCTTAGAAGCTCCCCACCATCCTCAATTTGCCTAATTTCCCTGATTCCTCTTCTCTTATTTGTTGTTGTTGTTTCATTTTCCATTCGTGATCATTAGAAGAGGAAACAACTATAGTAACCTCACCTACATAGGGCATGATGCAGAATAATAGTTATGATGCCTCCAGGGAGTTTGTCTAGGCACTTAATAAATACATATGTGATCTGTCATCCTGAAGATAGCCCTGCACAGTAGGCTTTATTCCAACTTACAAAGAGGAAAGAGAGGTTTGGGGTATTGAGGCTACCTGCCTGATCTCACACAGCTAATAAGTGATAGGACTAGAATTTTAAGTCAGCTGTGCAACTAAAAACTCACTCCTTTTACTCTACCACTGTACTTCAGATGAGATAATAAGTGAAAAACAAAAACAAAAGGCAGTCTCTAAATGCTGCTGAGGAAGTGCAGCAGCTAGAACTTTCATACTCCTCTGGCAGGAATGTGATTGGTACAACCACTTCGAAAAACTGTTGACAAGTATCTACTTTACCTGAACATACATATACCCTAAGACCAAAAAACAGACTCGCAGGAACATTCCCATCAGAGATAAAATAATAATAAAAAGTGATATTTTTATACAATGGAATTCTCTACAGTAGTGGAGAATAGCCTACCACTACATTTGACACATGGATGATACCCAGACATAATGTGTGAAAAGAAGTAAAAGAGTATGTATTGTGTGACTCCGTGTGCTTAAGTTCAAAACCAGATAAAAACAAATATGTGGATTAGAAATGGTTACGTTGGGGTGGGAGGTATGAGTGATGTGGGGAGTAGGCCAAAAAAGGCTCCTGTGACGCTAGTCATGTTCTCTGAAAGGTGGTCGGTCACGCAGGTGTGAGTTGTGTTTACCTTGTAAACATTCTTTGAGTTGCATCCTCAAGATTTAAATACTTTACGACATGTATATTATATTAGAATTCCTATTCCCCAAAATTCTCTAAGCAGCCAAATGGTAATAATGGTAGCTGCTAGTTATCAGACCTCTGCTAAGCCATGGTTTTCTCATCTATAAAATGTAGAGAATATTAGAATATGCCTCATTGCTTTCTTGTGAGGAGACAGTGAGAGAAGTCACACCACATGACTGAAAGAGTGACTTTAATTAATATCAATGATTGTGGTTATGTTCCCACTACCATTTGGGCGCTTTATACACACTGTGTTACCAGATCCTTCTTACCACCTAGTGAGACAGGTGGCATTGTTCCCATTTTTTCAGATGAGAGAATCTAAGTCTTCTACAATGTAAGTTTCTTCCCCAAGATCGCACAGCCAGTGAATGGCAGGGCATGATTCTATTTCCAAGGCGTTAATGATCAATTTCAGAGGAGACGGAAGCCCTATCATGAAGGATGAGTAAGAGATGGTAGTAGGACAGAATGGAAAAGTGGGACTGATGGGCTGCATTTGAGGCCAGGAAAATTGGGTGCAGGCCCAGACTCTGCCCCACTTTCTCGTGATGACAAAGAAGTTGCTGGAATCCATCTCAAACTTGAGTGTTCTGAACTAGATTTTATTCCCTTCAGTGTCTTCCAGCTCTGAAATGTTGTGATTCTCCATGTTTGTCATATGATATGGGCATCTTCATGACCTAGCTCCATGAGCTTAAATCCATTTTCCACAAAAACCTCATCCTAGCGTCATCTTCTTAATACTTTCCCCTGAACCCCGCTGTCCTATTAGCAGGGTTAATTACCCCTCCACTACATGTCTGTTGTCCTTCTGCAATCCTCTTGCCTGCCTGTGTCCTCTGTAACCAGTAAATTCCTTGAAGGTAGAGACATTTGTGGAAATCTTTGTTGAATTAACTATTTAAATCCAGAGAAAGTTCTTTTTGAGTCATGTGTGGAAGGACAACCTCGGGATGTGCTGAACCTCAGGTGGAAACCTAGAGAGAGCTTTCCTTCCTGGTGTTTTATTTTAATAGAGGTCCAGGAGAAATAGTGACAAAGAGGCAAGGTTGAAATATCAGTAGATAGACTTTGTAGCTCCCCATTATGCGCTCATGAAGTCTGAAGTTTGATCAGTGATTAAGCATCAGTGAAAATCTAAACCCTTTCTATACAAAACAGCTCTACTTAATTTGATGTCATTTCACATTAGGAGATAGTTAATAAACAGGTACTGTATTTGATCTTATGAGTGTAGCCCTCTATATTTAGCTTTTTCAGCTTTAATGGAACTATAATTTTAATCATGATTATTACTTTACATTTTAATTATAATTTGGTGTGGCTTAAGTATACATTTCTGAGAGTGATTGTGTAATGAAAACAGGAATTAGCTTTTCATTAACAAAATAATAGGAGAGTTCCCACTGCATGCTAGTCTGTGTTCAAAATCTATGGGCTGGCCTAAAAATAGCAAGGGGAGTTTAACATTTTGGTTTAAGACATGCTTCTAAATTGGCTATGTTCACAACCCAGTCTCTTTTGCTCCATCTTGTTCTATCTTGTTCTCTTTTTCTTTTCAAAAAATTAAATCTTGAAAAAATACTTTAGTTATATCTTTGAGATTTCAAAAGGCTTGTTTTTATTTTTGTTTAGATAATTAGCACCATGGAGCCTCAGGTGTCAAATGGCCCGACATCCAATACAAGCAATGGACCCTCCAGCAACAATAGAAACTGTCCTTCTCCCATGCAGACAGGGGCAGCCACAGATGACAGCAAAACCAACCTCATAGTCAACTATTTACCCCAGAATATGACCCAAGAGGAATTCAGGAGTCTCTTTGGGAGCATTGGTGAAATAGAATCCTGCAAACTCGTGAGAGACAAAATTACAGGTATGTTCTTCCTCAACATTCTAGGCTTGGAATCTGCAGCTGTGATGTTCCATTAGATGTGCAGACCTTAGCAGAAATGCACATGCATGGTGATGCATCTGAGTGTCTGCAGTGTGGATCCTGCATTCAAGGATGGTGTCATAAACTTATATGTGTGTGCACTATAGAAAACCACACTGAGGGTTGGTAGGACTGAGACGAAGATGAAGAATTTGGAGCTTCCTCAGCTTTACTATCTGTGAAATAATACTTTGGTTTTATCCCCTTTTATACTTAATCAGCCACCCCTTCCCTTTGTTCTTTAGTTCTCTGTTCTGCTCTCTGCCCTCCATATACTCCATGCTAGTTTCTATCTACTTATCCCTTTCCTCTCAAACATTTGGTTTGTGTGTGTCCGATATTCTTCTGTGTGTTAGACAGTGTTAGGTGGACTTGTGGAAGGAGGCCACAACTACCCATGTCCCTGGGGAGAAATAAGCCCTAAGGATAGCAGATTACTCTGGAGTGAAACTACTGTTTAGTAGGAGGGAGATGCTCCATGAAGATCCGCATTTGAGGTATTTTATTTTATTTGTTTGTTTTGGAGATACTCTTTAAGAAGTCGGAGACTTTTTACTTGAAAGTAAAACAATACCTTATACAACTTCAGCACTTAAGGTTTTTAGGTTCTGATTTTTCCCCCACAAGCATTCATTGAGGACCTAATGACACTAATTATTGGGGAATTTCCCTAGCATCTTTTATGAAATGAAAAAATTTTCTTAGAAAAATATTGGGCTACATGGCAGCAGTGAGGTAGCTGTTCTCTGGGTACTCCACTCCTAACATCATTCACACTCACCTTTAAGGGTTTGTCTTTTTTGAGTGTTGACTTATTTCCCGTTCTCTGGATAGTTTAAGTGTTGAGCAACTAGCCTATATAAGAAAAAGGAAATGGTCTCATTATAATAGGAAGCTACATCATCTTGATCTTAAATCAGAGAACCCAATGTATATGTGTGCATGTATGTATGTATATACACACACACACACACACATACATACATACTAGAGGCCTGGTGCACGAAATTCATGCACTCGGGCGGGGGGGTGCCTCAGCCTGCCCTCTCACAGTCCAGGAGCCCTCGGGGGATGTCCGACTGATGGCTTAGGCCTGCTCCCCAGGGGAACAGGCCTAAGCCATCAGTCAGACATTCTTAGCACAGCCATGGAAGCAGGAGAGGCTCTTGCCACCACCGCTGCGCTTGCCAGCTGTGAGCCTGGCTTTTGGCTGAGTGGCACTTCCCCTGTGGGAGCACACTGACTACCAGGGGGCAGCTCCTGCATTGAGCATCTGCCCCCCGGTGGTCAGTGTGTATCATAGTGACTGGTCGTTCCCCTGTTCAGTTGGTTTGCATATTAGCCTTTTATTATATAGGATATATACTATTTAATTTTCTAATTCCTGTGTAAATCTGTCCCCCAAATAAATTAAGTACTTTTCAAAACCATAAAACTAAAATAACTGTCAAACATATGTCACATAACCCTTCAAACATAATTTTCTCATCTGTAAAATTGGGAAATAATAGTTACCTCAACAGGTTTATTGTGAGGATTAAATGAGAGAACGGATGTATGCTACCTAGCACCATGTATTGCAGAGCAGTCTCTCAGTAAGGGGAGATGTTCTTATTACAGATATAGTGAGTGTGTTTCAAGGAAGTGGCTAGAACAGAGCGATTTTATCATGGTCTCCAAATAGGGCCAGGGCTTTGTTGATCTTGCCCCAGAGCACTGGATCATCCATTCTTTAACAGAATTGCCTGTGCTCTCTGAAAGCCAACGTTTAGATTCCAGAATAATTTTTATGTAATCGGATGATAATTCAAACCAAATTCGAACCAGTTAACCATATGATTCTTCCTCCCACTCTTATATAGAAAATGTATTTTTGGTGTAGCTTTGCCTTCTAAATAGGGACTCTGCCAGCTATATTAGTGAATATTATTAATCACCTTTCAAAAGAGTTCCCTTAGACTGTAGTGAGGTTTTTGTGAAGTACTGATTCATGGTGTTTTTCCTTGTTTTCTAAAGACGCACATTTAAACAAGCAGATTCCTTTACTGAAGGAATGCTAATTTGGTAGTTCACCGAGTGTATTTGAATAGGAGTGACAGCTTCCAAGACAGCCTTTAATTTGGTATACAAACCAAAATTGTCAACTTTGGTTTGTTTAGCACCCTCCCCAGCACAAGCAGAGACATACAATAGCATCTGAGCTTAAGGAAGAAGCTTATGGGTTGAAAGAAGAAATACAGGTCAGGCATAAATTTATCATTATGCATTTTTTTAATGCAGGCCAAAAAAGATAATTTTATTTGCAGAGAACTTATGGGAATGAGGCAAGGAGACAGAGAGAGACTGGAGATATTTGCCCTCATTTGGTAGCAGTGTTTAATAAAAGTAGAACTTGTGGTTGTAAAGAGTGCTTATTAAATTCTTCATTTACACTACCTAATTAATTCTAGCATTTTAAATTAACAGTGAAATTGGTCCCTGCTGTACCATTCCATAGATGCAGCATATTTCCTCCATCCACCCGTTGTTCAGGTTTAATTGGCTATGCTCAAAGTCAGAGGAGGAGGGAGAGATGGGGCTGTGGAGAGAGGGAGAAGGAGTGGGAATTGCTCTTATAGAAGACCCCCTGAGCCTACATTTGGGGGTGAGTGACAACACAGGCTGGGAGAGGTGAGGGACCGTAGCAGGTGAGTAAAAAGGCTGCTGCTGTTGGTTCAGAAGTCAGGATAAATGACATCATAGGTATTTTTGTTGCCCTGATTTTTAACATCCCAGTCCCCCTTTTCCTTCAACACCTCCTACAGATCTCAATGCATCTCGATCCTGTGAAGTTTATAAGGCGTTCTAAATATCCAGTGAGAGGATTGGGGGATGGGAGGTGGCAAAGAGGTAAGAATTTAAGATTAAGTGTTTCAAGCCCAAACCACTCTCTAAGATTAGACTATAATAGATTCCCCCTTAGAAGGTTCTAAGATAGGTAGATGATAGATGATAGATAGATAGATAGATAGATAGATAGATAGATATTAGATAGATAGAAAGAATAGATATTGAGAGAGAAGAGAGAGAGAGAAGGCTGGATTCACTCCTTGCTGTGGTTGTCAATGTTTTTTTCCATTTGTGAACACAGAAGGGAAGTCTGGGCATGGACTTAAGTGTTGTGGTATTGAGGATGTAATTGCTTTCATTCATCAGGTACTTACTCTAGTCCAGGTACTTACTAAGCCCTGGATATACCTTACTTCATTTAACACTGAGAACAACCTCCATTTCCTTAGATGAGGATACTGAACCTTAGTGAGGGGTAAGTAACGGAACCAGGCATCCTAGTTATTAGCAGATGGTGGAGCTGGGAGTCACCCCCAGTTTCCAAAAACATGATCTTATCTGGAAGCATGTGCAGGGTGCCCCTGCCTATGCTACGTGACGCTCTCTGGCTAATGCTCATCCCATAACCCGATGAAGTACTGGGTTCCTCTGAGTAGTGGTTGCTGGCCACCCTCTGGAGAGTCTACCTAGTATGCACTGTGGCTTTAAGTGCTTTTTTTTTTTTTAAGTAAGACTCTTGTGTATAACGGGAGGCAAAGATAATAATATTTATCCTCCTCTGAGAACACACGTCAGCCTTCAGAGTAAAGCCAAATTTGCTGAAAGTGCCAGGTTTAAGATTTCCTTACAGTGCCTTTGGACATCTCTGTTATTTATCTTCTTAGAGATACTAGATTTTCTTCTTTTTCCAATTGGGAAAGGACACTTATCAAGATAATCCAGATACCGGGGAGAGAAAACGTATGTCCCAAGTTGCTTTTGTGTGCAGCCAAGGACATGTGATAACCCTGGAAGCCGTGTCCTTTCTTTTTCCCCTTCATCCACCTGCACCCTCTGCTGCTGGAGAGGAAGGGAGGTGGACTGTGGTCAGCAAGGACTAGTGCAACCTAGAAACTCAGGCAAAGAACACCAAAACCCTCGGTGGGGTTATACTATTCCCTTGGACTGGAGAGAATCGAATTTGTTTCTTATTTTTTATTTCGTTGTCTCTTTGTTTCTTCAAGCTTTAAGATTGCGTTACTGAATCCAGGTTTTCGGGGAGGAAACGTACGGCTTAGCTAGGATAGAGTCAGGTGACTCAGAGTATGTCTCAACGCCAGCAGAGCTGGAATGCTGAATTGCATTTTGATAATTATCTATCTTGTTATCACCCCGCTCCAAAACCAAGAGAGAAAGGAGAAAAAAGTAACAGAAAAATCCCCAGATATAAATTAGTGTACAATAACAAACGGTTTTGATCTGCCCATCAGAGTTTGTGTTTATTTGCATCACAGAGATAAAAAAAGAATTCTATTTTTACTTAATGTCACTCTTCCTGTGCCCATGAAGTATAGTTTTTAAGAGTAGTTTTCTATCCATTTCAGGCAAGTGAGAGTTCTGAAGAGAGTTTTGAGGACGGGGTGGATGGAACTGAACATCATTGATTACAAAACTGAATATATGGAGTGGCTGGAATATGAAGCAGACTATCAGGGCTGTGGAAGGTGGAGAAAGGGTGAGGTCTGTGTTAGCTGGAGCTATTGGAGAAGCTTTGAAAGATATGATTCAGATTTAGGTAGAAGGGAAAAAGCAAAGGAATTTGCTAAAATTCCAGTCTAAGAACAGCAGCCTTTTTATTCTCCTGTGATTTGGACAAAGGAAGTGAAGCCAGGACGTGTCTTTGGAAGCAGCAGTCTAACAGGAAGCAGCATCGCCAGGTGAAGTTAAGCATACCCCCAAATTAAGTTGGTCCGAAGTTGCAGCCCAACCAGCAAAGATAACACTTCCTAAACCCCACCTTTCATCCATCTCCTCATTTCTTCCTTTATAACAGATCTTTGTCTTTGTTAATGTTCTCACTCAGTGGAAAAGGCAGAATAAGGCCCCCAAAAGACACTTCACTGCTGTGGACA